CATGTAGGTAATGCAAATGATATGCACCTCATCAGAATATCTCATAACTCGAATCATAATAAATTGGAATATTAAAATTACGTAAAGAATTAATTTATTTTATAATTACCGACTTAATTAAGCAATGTTGAAATTGTTTAGAAAATAGGGGGGTTTCGAATATTATATAATTATTTGGGATATTATATAATTGTATTTTATGTCAACTAATCGGTGATGGAAAAATCCGGAAATACATTTGCAAATCGCGTCGCGATATGTATTAAGCGATGAATATATGCATTATTCTTTGAGAGATCCATTTATCCCGTAAACATCGATCGCGATACGGACATGAGAGAGGCACGAATGTCGATGGGAAATAAGGGAGAAACGATGCCGTAACCGCAACGGAAGACGACGAAATTGTGAAATTGGATAAGAACGGTGAGCACATAGGACTTCGCTCACGTAGTCGGAGAAACCTCACACATACACGTAATCCCGTAATAATTTCGCTGACTGCGCTATAAACTCTGGAATAATATCTCACAAAGCCATGGATAAAATAATTAAAATGTATATTTTTTTCTCCGCGATATATGTGATGTAATAAAAAGATATGTGATGCATGTTTTTCAGCGTGCGAAATTAATTGCCAATTTTTTACGAAACAAATATTGTGATCACATTTTTTTAAAAACAAATATATTGCTTTGTTTACAAAAATCTTTCCATTTAAATATTTATTTAGATAGAACTTATTTTAATAAACGTTTAATATATCTGAAATTAACTTTAAATCGACTCGTGAAAATTGAAAGGTATTCATAATCAATACAGGATGTATATAATAAACTTGCAAGTAATCGATGTAAACGCGATGTACAAATGAACGCATCGCTCATTCTGGTTAGAGATTCTCTCATTGCCACGGGAATGATGATAATGATGTCAATGGCATCGGGCCGATAATATCGCGGTTGATTGTAATAAGCGGCTTCCTCAAACTCTGTGCTTTTCATGCAAATTATGGGGAATTTAAACGTATTCCGTATAAGCTAGCAATTCTAATCCCTGGACCCGATATGTCATTTTCACTTTACCAACGTATATCGATTAGTACTTCAATATAGGACAAGTAATCAATTCGCCAGATACACAGACATATCGATTAACGTGCGAAGACAGCATTTGGAGTTCTAGATATGGGATTATCGATGGATGCAATTGTTATACTATTCTAAACCCACATACAAGAGAATATCGATGAAAACAAAAATGTTCGTTAGATAAAATCACTAAAAAAAGAAAAAGGTAAAAGGCTACAAGGACCAGCGCAATAATTGATGGTTCAAAAAATCAATTAAAAAATCAATTAGAAAACGCATTAACCGTAATAATCGGAACTTTATTTATATTATATCAATGACTGTTAACTTTATTTTTCATTTTTGTTTATTACTCACTTTGTTATCCGACATTGAAAAGGATTCGAATTGGATCGAAACGCAGCGTTTGTCTTAAATTAAATAAACATTACTTTTGGTTTGTTAAATTGTAAAACAACCGTTGAATTTTTCGCATAAATTTCACCTTTGCGCTGGTCCTTGTAGTCTTTTATCTTTTCTTTTTTTAATAATAAAAATGTCTATCTTGCAATCTTGCCCAATTTTGTTCAAAGTCCACTATTTTACAAACATCGTTGTCCGATATGGATTTCTATCCTATTCGTCACTTACACGCGCGCAGATATCGATGCGGGGATGCGCATCTTTCCGTCGTGAGCGGCAGGCTGGATGTCCGGAATGCGAGCGGAACCCGTTTCTATGAGTCAAGCCCGACTATTGACAACAGAGAAGGAAAGAGAGAGAGAAAGAAAGAGAGAGAGAGAGAGAGAGCTGCTCGCGGCCCACGATAGCCAATCTTGCGGTTCTGGATCGTAGCACGCGATCCGATGTATCGCGCGGCAGCACGAGAGAGAAGGAATTTGCGGGATCGAATCACGTTACGCCGCAAAGATCGCCGTCGATCGGGATGCAGGGTACCGTGACGACGAGATGCACGTAGAACCGCATTTAACGTGTAATTGGTTCACGGACGATGAATAACGCGGATTTTATATAAGCACACACAGACATATGGCCCTTTTACAATTAAATAAAATTACGCGCGCGCTTAACGGCTTATGTTACATCTTCTATATTTAACCAATGGAGGGAAAATAAAGTTCCGAAACGATTGATTATCATATACTTATGCTGCAGATAGGATTACGAAGAGAAAAACGTTTAATCCAAGCTTTCAAACCGATTATTTGAAAATAATCAATGCAAAGCAACGTGAAGAATAATTAAAAGAAATATTATATAACGATTTTTTTCATGTAAATTTATGCAGATAATAGATTTAGAATTAAAAATAAAAACTGGGTGTGTTTAAATAAACACCAACATTTGCTTTACATATTTTTATACATATCTTACATTTTAGTAATAATAAATTTCAAGTAATAATAAATTTTAAGTAAATAATAATGTATCTTTTCCCTAGATTTTTTATTTATTTAATTCTTTAGATTAACAACGATATATGTTCAAATGCTTTGAATTGTTGAAAAGATTGTTGTTTATAAATTTTATAAATAATTTTACAAATTTTATAAAATAAAACTATTAAATTTGTAAAATAATTTTCAACAGTTTTCATAATATTTTTTCGATTGGAAATTAGCATCGATCTTTTGCTGCGAATGATCGAAACGCAATGTAAATCGAGCATCGTGAATAAGGCTGTAGACGGAAGTAACGGTATCGCAAAGAGATGAGTAGTCGAATCAATTACATTTTCGAGATGTAATCAATAAAATAGAATTAGAAATGAAAGTATGCCGTGCTATATCGATTGACGAAGCAAAAAATAGTCGAAGGAAACACGTGTCATATTAGTACGAAATAAATCTTAAGAAATTCCAGTGTTCCACTTCCATAGCAAACTCAAGAATCTCGATTCCAACGAGAATAATTCAGTTTTCCTTGTTTATTCTGAAATACGAAAAATACAAATAAATATTGCAAATAAATATTCAACAAAATAATTGTTATATGGAAAAAAGATACTTTGCCAATATATTTGTCACGTGGCATGTAAGCGATGCAACGTGACATCACAATCGAGTTTATCGATCCGGAATGACAGTCTTCATGGTTCGCAGTATAACGTCATGCTCAATACGTAACATTCATTTAATCGTTGTTGCATGCCATGGATTGACACAACTTTTTGTTTGTTTTTACGCTTTTATTTAACTTTTTTATTTTACCTCGTTAATATCTACCGATACATGATTGAAAGCTACCTTTACTATAATAAGATATAGGACAATGGCTTGTGAGCATATATCATAATTACATCGTAAAACTACCTCTGATTTTATTAAACATTTCTTTGATCGAGCATTTGGAATTGATTTGCACTTAAACATTTAAAAATTAATTATTATTTTCAGCTATTTTAATTTTAATGAATTAAATACTTGAATAATTTAATTCTAAATTAAAATTCTAATAATCTAAAGCTTTTGAATTGTATGAAATCCAATTGATCTAACTTAAGAGAGATTGTTCATTAAAAATTCTTAAAAATGCATAAATATTGTACAATTAAATAATGTAATAATTAATTAATGAGTAATCTCATATATCTCATATTTGATACCACATTCAACTTTACGGATAAATTTCTAATTGCAATTTTACAAAATTATAAATAATTCTACATATATTCGTTAAATGTGAGCAAAGAGGGACGAGCTCGCGTGACCCGCTCGTGCCGAGTGAGAGGAAATGTATGAACAATCTATGAACGAGCAGCGCCGGGAAAGAGAGAGAGAGAGAGAGAGAGAGAGAGAGAGAGAGAGAGAGAAAGAGACCTGCGGTCGTTGAAAGTGATAATAATACACAGTAACAAAGTACGTATCGACGCGACTGTGTCCCAGTCGTCGCCAGATCGCCCAGTTTTCTCTCGCGATTCGCTTATCTCGCGCGATGACCGGCAATTTGTCTTCGTATTCCTCGCGTCGCGATCAGATATACACGCGGACTTCGCTTCGCATCGCGGCCTTTCCGCGAGCGCGTGCACCGCTAAAGGTCATCGTCTGGTCTAACAGTGTTACGCATACCACCGTGAGATCTTTCTAATTACGCCGTTGAATTCCCGAGGTTTTTAATCTTGATAGCGTTCGCTGCGCATTTCATTCGGGTTTCATACACGAAGAATAGTATTTTTCGCAAGAAAAATTTTCGAAAAATTTATTCCACGCTCGCAAAAAAGACACCGCGGAGAAGCAACGATATCATTTCGCGCGTGTATTAATTAAAATAAAAATTAGAGCCCCGACTTTCGCGCTGGGGCTCTTATCCCAATTATGATTTAATTTTGACTTATTTATTTGAGCCAAGTTCCTAATTTTAATATTAATTAAGAAGCGGATGTCGCGGGATTATAAAACAAGCATTAAATTAAAAAGTTATGCTCTGATTGAGATATGCGCTGGGAAAGAACGGCGACAATAGCTTTGATTCCAGAGCTCTTTAGTTATATTATGTGTGATAATCGTTAGGAGATAGTCGCGCTTTAAACCGCTTCGTCACGATGCGATCGCTTTACAGTCCGTTAAAACGAAACGATTCTTTACTCGTCACTACTTGAGAGGTACTCTCGCTTGCTCGCTCTTGTGAAAAGATTCCTTTACAATTTCCATTTAATCGATAGATCTCTACAGCTGGTTTTAGCTAAATCATTGTGATTTTTCTCCTTATTGAAGTTACATAATTTTTTTTAAATTCCACTATCCGTTCGTGTAATCAATCGCGTTTCGTCTCGCATAAAATTTCTGAAAAGCCAGGAAAGAGAGAGAAAGAGAGAGAGAGGAATATTTTCTGTGCCTCGTCGCCACACTCCGGGTAGATTATACCCCGTATCTATCCTTCTTTTTACGGGCTGACTATTCCGACCGACAGAGAGAGAGTGAACAGTCAGTCCATTAATTATTTTCTCCGACCTGTTCCAGAGGCACCGCCGGCACCATCTCGGGAGCCATGCCGGCTGACGAGCTCGCGCGTATCCGACGAGGAGACCGAGATGGTAGAAAACCGAGCTTGCAGCCGCCTTAACGAACGCACGACCGACCGACCGACCGCATCGTTGCCGCGATAAAGAGAAGGAGAGAGAGTGAGAAAAAGACTCCCTTCGCGGACCGACCTGCGGATCATGCCCTTAACGAACCCGCTCGCGCCGCACGTTGTCGTCGCATAGTTCCACGCTGCGAATCCGATATGTGAGAGAACCGCCGCCTGGTGGATGTCGTCGCCATGGTGGAGCAACTGGTGTGCAGCAACTCGCTGAGCCCGGGAACGTAGCGCCCACGTAAGCCCTGGTTCGCATATAAACGTGCTCCTTCCAGTTGAGGAATTAATTGCGGAAGACGACGAGAAGAGGTATTTCCGGCTCGAGAGCCGTTGGCGATAAATGACGTGCCTTTACGGCCTTAAGATTACGAAGATTGAAATCGGGCCTAAAGATCGAAATCAACGACGAACTTGATGCAACTTGCAAGCTTAACGAGCGATATATTTCATTGTGAAACATTCGCGCAGCGTGATGAAGAGAGAGGTGATATATCTGACGCATGAAGAATCTAGCTTGAAAGGGATAAAGTTGATGTGCCACGTGTTAATGTGACTTGAAAGGATATGACGAGTCTAATCTGAGGAAGATCGAAGCTAATAATCAATGTGCTATGCTTCGGTGTAATTCAGTAGCCTCTTCCGTCACGTAGCCGTCATGTGAGGATCATCGGCATCGGGAGGAAAAGAGAAGAAGCCTCACCCCGCGTGACACCAGCGAGTGTCGAGTAATGCTGAAGCACATCTTGACGGGGCAGCCGTCGTCAACGGGCTCCAGGCATCATCATAATGATTATCAAACGAGCTCGGGCTCGTTGCACGGCGGGCACCATCATCACCACTTGCACAATAACTCGCTGCACCAGGAGCAGCAGCAGCAACAGTCGCAGTCGCAACAGCATCACCACTATCATCATTACACCGGAGGCACCGGGACGACTCGCGGCATCTCCGGACATCGTAATAACGGCGGAATCGACGTGTACGACTCCGTGGCGCAGAGATCGACGACGTCGAATGCGCATCAATCGGCGACGACGCCCTCGTCGACCCACCGGCATCCCTTGAATCACTCCCAGCTGAGCGTCAACAATCTGTCGCAACGCTTGAACCATTCGCACGCGCTCAATGTGTCGACGCTGTCGACCTCCAAGCACTCGGTCAACAGCGTCAGTCCAGTAGCCGGTGTTAATGGTAACGGCGTCAGTAATAATAATAATAATAATAATAATAATAATAATAATAATAATAATAATAATAATAACAACAACAACAACAATAACAACAACAACAACAACGTCTCGGTCGCGAGTCAGCTTGGCCATACCGTGATCTCGCAGACGAGCGTATTGCATCAAGATCGACCGAAGGCGAATGGCGGTCTCGACATCTCCAGGCTGTCGCGGTTGCCGAGCCAAACCACGCCGTCACCCGCACCTGCCGCACCTGCGCTTCCTGTCGTGGCCGGCCAGGTAACCGGTGGGCCGACGGTGATACCCCTCAATGCCTCCTGGTCCTCGTCCCTGTCCAGGAATCTCCATCGAAACGACGAAGGTGTGAAAGAGATGTTGACGAGCCTCGGACTATTGTGCCTAGTGTCTCTACTTCTGGCCCTGCTCTCGGTTATCTTCCTGCTGAAGATCTCACCGCTCACGGTCACGTCCAACAGTCTCATCAGCCCGGAGGAATTCGTCATCGTTTACGAGGTCACCCTAGCGCTGTGCGCTCTCGCCTTGTCGCTCAACTTGTGCTGCCTGCTGGTCTGCGCCATACAATTCCTCTTCACGGTGAAACTCGTCAAGACCTCGTACCAGGGACACCGGTAAGTCTCTACGACTCATAATTATCATTTTCCTATAATATTTAAAAAGATCTAAAATCTAGTTGGCTCTATTATTATTATTGTTATTATAATTAAAAATTGATCTCGATAAAAAAATTCAGATCTTAATAGAGACTGAAAAAGATTCTAAGACCGCTCACGGACTTATCGACAAAATTAACGGTCGATGACTAATGAACGAAATGAAAAGGACCGCTACGATGCGTCTGCGTGCGTTTAATACGCTGGAATCCAGTTCAATTATTTTTAAGCTCTAATGGGAGGGCCGGCCATATCGCGCGAGTATTCGATGCGAGCAAACCGAAATTCGCAATTAATTAACGCGGTAAAAAGGCGATATTCTCTCCGCGACCGATCAGATTCGGAATGATCCGAGTATGCAGTAACATCCCCGTTGTATCGTGACTTTTGGACCCGACATTACGAAACTGTATAAAGACCGATTCACACACAACGCCATGCAGATCAGATAAAATCAAATTTTATTCATTTATTATTTCATTATTTTATCTTCTGACTGAATTTTAATTGTTGATTAATATCAATATCACATAATATCAATAAAATATCACATAATATCAATAAAATAATAAAAATATACAATTAATAATAATAAAATTTCATAATTTATAATAAATTTTATAGAATCAAGCGAACTGCAAAAAATTTTATTCAGAAAGATGATGATGAAAGAACACTCTTACGGAAATAAAGATCGCGAAATTAATTAATCTTGCCGGGTATTTTTATATCGTAAATAATTATTACATTAACATCCGTGTAATGTAAAAGAATTTACAAATTTTGAGATCAGTATGAATATTAGTCCTAACATGCCATGTTCTTTTTATCAATGTAGTTATTGTCAATATATATACATTATATTGAAACATATCGCACGCGGAAAATTTCGGTTGCAGATTCCTTTATATCTTGCCGAAAGGAGGTAAAAGGGTGGACATCTCGGGCCCTTCGTAATCCCCCTTAAGATGCGTAATAAACGATTCGTAGTCTTGCGAGTAGCGCCGATATCTTAGCTAACATCTTAGCTAATAAGGAGTACGCGAAAAAGAAAAGATGACGAAGAAGCCGACAAACATTATTGCTGTTATTGCTATGCCGCCGCTATTGCTTCAACATTATTTTCGAGCGAAATTATGCAAACCAGGAATTTTGTACGAATCGAAGAATGCGGCGCGATTGAATTTTTTGTTAATCAGCTATCGTGCCGAATTATTAAAAACTTTACTAATACTCTTCTTGACATTTTTAATACATAAGCGATCAGGAGTATATTACATTTTCAAATTCTAAAGTACTGAACCTTATTTGAAATATTTTAATGTAATATTCTTAATTATATTTAATATAATTACCAAATTTATAAAATTGTATGAATTGTATTTTTAAGAATTCCAAGTTTTAAGAATAAATATTAAATAAATATTAAATATTAAATAAGAATAAATATTAAATATTTCAAAGAATATTTTTTAATAACAGAGAGAGAGAGAAGCTAAGATCTAAAGATTCTATGTAAATCGGAAATACTACATTATATTAAATAAAGAAATAAAAATTAAAAATGTAAAGAACTTTGGAAAACAAATCTATGGATTTAAATATTTAACAATCTTAATAGCCAACGATTTAAGAATACACACAAGTTTAAAGAGAAAAAAAATATAGTGTGCAATCATCTAAATAGCACGTCTCAAGTGCTAGTTAAAAAAAGAAAAGATCCAGAAAAAGAAATGATTAAGTATGCAAGAACTTGAAACAGCCTGCGAACCTTGCACGATACATGTAAAGACGATCCGGTAATTACACAGGAAGCGATATGAGACTCGCGTAATAGGATCTAATAGGGGACACCGTGTCTCCCATTCGGAGGGAAGAGAGGAGGGAGGGAGGGAGGGATGCTTCCCGCGGAATCGAAGGAAGCGATTTATACGCGGATCGGGCCCGTTCACGGGTGTTCTCCGTTTCTCCTCGTGCCTCGATCTCACGATCGCGTCGTCGACATTCGCGATCAAGATCGTCCGCGTCGGGATGGAATGGGGTTCCCAGTCATCCATGCGTACCGTATATCCCGCGCGCGAAATATATATATATATATCTATGTACAGGTATACGGGTGGATTTCGTATCCAGTGTACGGGAATCCGTGCTGCTGTCTTCTCCTCCCCTTCTTCCCCCTCCCGTCTCCCTCTTCTCTTTCCGACACGATATATCAGCGTCTTACCGTGCAAGAGTTTCTTCTCACGGAGAGAGAGGCGCAAAAATTCACATTACGCGCGTGTAAGCGTGTATACTTGACAGACGCATCCACGACACACGCACGGATGGAGAACACGAGTAGAGAATCGGAGCGAGACGCTCAGATAGATCGCGATGTCGCGCCACCCCGAAATTATCCTCGTTAAAGAAGTGCGTTGATGCGATCGCTCTCTCGGGGATCTTCCGAAGCGTGACTTCTTTTTCCGGGGCACAATGTCGTACCTGAGTAACTGTAGTAGATTGCTAAGAACATTGGATGGATTTCTCTAGAGGAGATACGTAGAATATGACGTAGAGCAGGATTCACGACAATTTGAATTTTATTTTTTTAGAAAAATATGACGATTTGCATTAAAGATATTATTAAACATTTAAATTTTATAATGAATTATTTGATATTTCTTGTGCTGAATTTTCATGTTATTTATCATCTTTGCATACATTATTGGCATCCATATCTCGGTCATATCCGAGGAAGAAGATGCATTTTAGGAAGCTCCTCGCAATTTAATCTTACGTTCAAACAATTTTAGAAAAATATGACGATTTGCATTAAAGATATTATTAATTATCTAAATTCCATAATGATTATTTGACTATTTTTTGTGCTAAATTTTCATGTTATTTGTCATCTTTGCATACATTATTGGCATCCATATCTCGGTCATATCCGAGGTAGAAGGTGTATTTTAGGAAACTTCCCGTAATTTAATCTTACGCTCACAACAATCTCGATTCAATTTAATTCAAACAATCTCGATTCAATTTAATTCAAAAGCCTCTCGATTTTCAGACTCCTTTTCGATTTTATAATTTCTCTTATTAATGTATTCGCGAAATGTTAGCGTGATGTATAAACTATCAGATGAATGTAGCCGACGCGCGTATAATGGAGTACGTAGTGCTCATTTCGCCGCAGTAGAACAGGACGAGAAAATTCCGAGTAGAGTCGTAGAACAGGTAGAGAAGCGGAGATGGCCGTTAATGACCGCCTTGAGATTAAATAAGGAAAACAAAAAGGACTCAGGAACGCACGTAACGATAACTTCCTCTTGTTTCTCTCGCGCATATCCGCGGTATCGCGACTTTCTGCCGTTAGAGACCTATAGGTCAATAAAACGCGATTAATGATCCTTTTTCTCGAGCATTACACACTTTATTCAAAGCTAAGAAAATACTTTAAATTAATTAATATGTGTGGCACGAGTCGGCGGAATAATTAATATTTGCAAATTGAAAAAGACACGTAGTAAACTTTGACAATATCCTGTCAGCAATTATTTATATTATATAGGTTTTTCCATATTTATTATAAAAATTGCGTGGCAAATTATATATAATTATTAATCGCGTGTACTACACAACAGACCTGTATTTTTGCGCGACGTTTAAGCAGGAGCCCAGACGTGTCCTTGTTTCGTATATCTTATCGAAATAAAGATAATGGATGCCCTCTTTTTATCCTCTTTTGCCATCGTCGACGTTACTCGGCCCTTACAATCTCCACTTTCGAGCTTCTCTCTTACAAGGTTTTCATTTCTGGATTATATCTAGAGAGATTGCGTGTGCCATGAAGACGGCTGTAAAACCTAAAATTTTCAAAGGAGATTTTCGGAGTCGGAAATTCTTCGGATAACTGACCGAACGATTGGTATCTTCCTCGAAAATATTTACACGCTAATAGAGATATAAATAGTTCATGCCGAAAAGACGGAACCTGTTTTAATTAAATTCTTTCATAGACGGCAATTCATTTTCGTTAGTTTTCGAGATTATAAAATTTCTCTCTATCGGCATTACAATCTCGAAAAAATCTCTTGATTAATTTTCCCACTCAACACAAAATTTTTCGTTAATTACATGTCTATCTCACAAGACACCTAAAAAATGTTTTTATTATTAATGTGTAATACAATATTCGATATATTGATGGTCCTTGAAATTCTGGGGCTTTTTCAGATCAATAAAAGCGACAGGCAGACAGATCGCGAAAGAACAACTGATAAGGTATAACGATGCTCGCATATACATATACCTTGAATGTAGGTGGCGGGTTAACGGCTTCTTTCTAAACAATATTCTGTGCCAACTGATAAGTGTAACGATCGATCAGTGTGCATGCTATTTTTATTTTGCGCTATCACGAAACCTTATGGCTACCCCTACCTCTAAGCTCGTGAAAAAATAATCGACTGCAGCTACAATAGAGGTGACTAGGAATTCATAAACAATTGCGTTTAGGAACAGCGCATTTTTTGCTAATATTTTATCACAAACGGAAGATAATTGCTGAGATTAGAATATAATCAAAATTTAATACACGTATTTTGATTTCTTATCAACGATAAATAATTCGTAAAAGATTGTCAAGTGTAATTTACTTGTATTTATTATTTTAAATGCAACGCATCGTTCGTATATTTTTAACATGTTTCAAAACTTTAACGTACATGGCTTTGATCAAGTATTTGAAAGTCTAACGTAACGTGGCAAAATTAGCTCTGGAATTCAGGTTTGGTGTTCGTCATTCGCAACGTAAATGTCTTAGTTATGATACCCTACCGAGAAATCTACGCGCAGCTGCTGAACAAATACTAAACAGACACCGACATGTTTCAAAGAGTTTTGAACCGGGTTCGATATGCTAATTCGACCAAAGCGAACGTTTGCAGCTTTGAGTTATGTTCGCGGTTATTAAT